TGGTGCAACTTGAGACAATTTCCTCTTGTCCTATCACTTGTTACTTGGGAGAAGAGACCGCCCTCACCTCACTACAACCTCCTCTCAGGTAGCTGTAGAGAGTGAGAGGGTGTCGCTTCAGCCTCCTTTTCTCCAGGCTAAACGAGCCAAATTCCCTCAGCTGCTCCTCATAGGACTGTCACTTGAGTCCCTTCACCAGCTTTCTTGCCCTTATTTGGACACCTCCAACACCTCAAAAGAAGCATTCAACTGGACTGGTTTATCATTATCTGTTTGAGACTTTGACAAGGCAGAGCTCACTGAGTAGCGCCCCAGGGCAGGAGAGATCACTTGCAAGCCTTTGTGCTGCCAGTCTGTGAGATAAATATTCTTCAGCTCTTCCAAGAGCCTCACATGGAATCAACTATTTCCAACAATTTTGTTCCTCACTTTTCCTCTTGGTTATCAGCAGTTCCAGCTGTTTTTTCCTGCTCTTCTCAGTAAAGGCCCTGCAAGTGTTCTGTCTAGGGCAGAGTCCTTCATGGTTCTCCTTGATCCCAGCTCTAACCTGTGACACTGTCAGCCTCTGTGCCCACCTACTGACTGTCAAACCTCTGGCCTCAACTCTGGCCAAAGAGGAGCCCTGTGTCAAACTCTCATATAGGTCCCTGTGCAGCTCTTCATGGGAGAAACCAGTAGACTAAGCTGAAACAAACCTCACTTGTTTCAGGCTTCACCCACTATGCACAGTCTTCGCAAAATTGTTTCCAAAGGTGCATTGACTTGTTGCGTCTCTCCCTACTAATTAACTAATTAACCTCAGCCTTCAAGTCAAGTTGGGTTAGGAGCTAATGGATCTCACATGAAGGAGTTGAATAACCTGCCACAGTCTTGTGTCTAAGATGCTCCTGATTGAGTGGGAAACAAATGTACAACCCACATAAGCACATGAAAACAGATCAGGTAAAATTTCTAAAACCTGAGTTTTTGTTTCCCCCCAGACATGTGCCAAAAGCCATTTTCAGACAGGCTGGCTGTAAGCAGCTACCTGGTGTGGGGACTCAGTGTTGGCTGGATGTTTACACACAACCCACATCACGCCACAGTTTGGCTTTTGAAGGTGGTTTGCCTTGGCTACCAGAGGAAGCCCAGCACATCATCTAGGCTCAGCTGAGCCTTGACTGGTATGTGTGTGTGCACCAGTCTTGGGGATAATCAAGTGCCCCAGCTGGCCCTTCTCCAACTGATGACAAAAAGACCCGGTAGCTGCCAGAACAAGTTATCCCTGTAGCAATGGACTCCTCATATGTTCCTATAGAGAAAAAGTTTGTTTGGGCACAAACAAGTGATTAGGCGTGTATTCATGTGTATCTCCATATGGCTGCAAGTTCTCACTCTTTAACTCTGATGAGAGAGCTATTGAAAATATCTATGTGTATCTGCATCAAAGGCTGCCTCACTGCAAGACTGTTTCCAGTCTTATCCAGATGCTCTGGAGATGGCTGTCACAGAGCACAGAATGTATATAGCTGCCTCCTATTGATCACTCGAAACACACCATGGATGAATATCCTTTTTAATTAGTCTCTATTTTTTCCTGGACTTCCTCATGTTGGTTGGTTTAGCTCTCCAGTGCCTCAGCTTCTGATGGTGTAGCGCTTTCCCAGTCCTATGGCTCTTTTGATTTGCTGTGACTCATATTCCTCTGGCCTAAACTCAGGCTAATTTCCTGCCTTCGTGTTTCTCACTGATTTGAGGAAGTTTAGATAAATGAGTCTGGCCCTTAACGTGTGTTTGTTTTCTGGAAGAGTTTTTCTCATTTTGCATTTGTTACGTAGAACATTGTTCCCTTATCTCTCCTTCTCTCCTCTGTCCGTCTCTCTCCATAGCTCCTCCACGTGATCACTGCAGACAGAAATGTCAAGGAACAAGTCTGCAGAGACAGAGGCTGGGGTTTGAGCTACGTCAGTTGTCTTTCTACTACCTGGCCTGCCTTCTCCCAGGTCTCACAAAACAGACCCCAGTCTGCCTGCCCAATCACAGAAGCTCACACCTTGTGTCCCATCATTACAGCCCTGGCCTGGGGCCCTGTAGGCTCTTGCCCCAAGTGCATTTGACCCATCTGTAGCCTGGGTTGCAGCATGCTATTACGACAGCGAACTTGAAAATAGGGGAAAAAATGTGTTGAGCCAATCATTACAGGCCTGCTTCACAAGCTGGAGGAAAATAAATGTGGGGTTTTTTTTGTGAAGATGAGGCTTAGTAAAGCATTTAGGAGTAATTAGTCAATGAGACATCATGAAAATTCAGGTGATTTGCATTCCAGCTAGCTCAGAGCAGAGGGACATCTGTTACAGCTTCTTCATCAAGTATTTGCATCTGCCTCTCCTCTTTATGAAAAGATATTTAATCATTTTCTTCTAGTGGTGCATTTCTGTTACACAGAGAGAGTCATGAATGGGAATGAAGAGATTTGCTTTGATATTCTGCAGTGGTCAAGTGTACTGAGCTTCACTACAAGAGCTATTGCTAGCAAACCTAATAAAATAATAGGTATTTAAAATCCTACTGAGGAGATGTTAGACTCACGCGCGTTATTTCAAGTGCTCTTGAATAAGGTGCATGCTATTTGGTAACATCCTCCTATTAGCTTGTTTAGTCATATGTTAAAGGAATTGCTTGTCATCCTAAATTACCAGTTGAGTCAGAACTGTATGAGCCACAATATTTTTCTTCAGTACAAAGGGTTACAACGTTTCATAGAAAACATGGGTTGTAATTACCCTTACGCAGCAGTGAAGGTAGAGGGAGGAAGAAAGGACTCATCTCAGAGGATTTTATATAAAATACTAAAGTTCATTTGATTTCAGACTCAGTTCATTTCCTGCCCACGGGTTTCCATACACATTGGATAGGACGGGGTAGAAAAGTTTCGCCAGCCCTAAACCTCCCACCTGAAGGCTGGGGCGAGTGGCTACATTCAGTGAGGCTTTCCCAGCGCTCTGCAGGAAAAGGATGTTTTTCCCTCACTCTCCAGGTGGCACCAAACACTACCGCTTTCCTCATGCTGGTTTCCATGAAACCCTTCTTGGAGGCTTCACTGTCATTTAACCAAAGAGTGCAAATCAGGAAAGACTGATAAATTGCAGTGACACAAATTATTTCCTTCTGACACTTCCTCGTTGCTGAAATGGATAGAAAGCAGGTAGTTCTGTACCTGGTCCCATGGACTCCACTGCGAATTAGGGATGGCAGAAGACACACCCTACCAAGGAAGATGTGTTGCAATGTGGCCTTCAACCCACAGGTGCCTGAGCCGTGGCAGCAGAGACCGGTAAGACTGAGCTGCAGTGAGGCAGCAGCCCAGGACTCTTCTCTGTTCAGGTTTGGTCTCGTTCTTCTTCATGAGGATCCAGAACAAAGCAATGAAGTCATTGGGTTTGTGTTGATTTGACTATCACGCTCTGTTACTTCTCCCCAGTAGTATAGACCCATGTCATTGGGCTAAGGTAAACAGTCATTGGGAAAATGGGGTGTGCATCATTTGTTAAGAAAACGAAGCTCCTGTGTAATTACTGCCTACTATTGTGGTAAAGAGGCGCCAGACCTATTTCTTTCCTCATACTGATTTCACACTGCTTCATATTTATTGATATTTAGTGGAGCTACTGGTGCTTCAAGCAGATGTGAAATTATGTTCAGGGCTGTGATACCAGGACAATAAAAACATTCTTGTCCTTCTCTGTTCTCTCCTCTTTCGCCTCCCAGCCCCATTTCCTCCTTGCATTTGAAGCATCTAATTTTCAGTTCTCCACTACATCCACATTTGTAAAACATGAGCAGATTAATTTTTTTTGCTGATGAGTATGAAGCTGAGAAAAGATGGTTGCTTTTCTCTCTGTATTCACATCTCGGCTCTAGAAGAATACACACATGGATTCTTTTGAAGGTAGATGAGATTCCTTTCTTTAAATACCTCTCTGCCACACCGAATTACAATGCTCATTTAGGTGGTTTCCATGCATGGGAGAAAAACTGCACAAATTTGCCTCAGCGTATTGAAATGTCTTTGTGAACCTGTGAATCAGGTCATAACGTTTTTATATTTTTATGGTCTTAGTTCTCTTAGAAGTACACAGTAAACACATACCCAGTAATAAGCAACACAGAAAATGTAAATTGGGAGCCGCTTTCAGAAAATCAGGAAAGTTCAATGAACTTGACAAAAACGCTGTTAAGTAACACTACTTTGCATCACTCATAAATAATCTCTTGAACGCAATTCCATGAGAAATCATTACATCTTGATAATCAATGTCATGGGTAAAGAAAACTACCGATGACGAGTGCCTGAGACTGAACTCTCCATGCTTTAAAGCCTGAACCAACTGCTAGATGTTAGGCTTCAGAAAGGGACTTCCCTTTTAGAAAGATTCCTTTTACCTGTTACTGAAATCTTTATTGAAGGCCTCAGTCGGAAGCAAGGTGCTCGGTGTAATGAACTAAAGAGCAGATGTTAGTGCGTATATAATGGGAAAGTGGCATTAAATTCTTCAGGCTTCTTTAAGCCGTGGGCTCTGGTGTCAGTCACAGTCCCGTATGTTCCGTGCCTGGTGGGGGAGGGGGGGCAAAGACAGGCTTGACCTACAGAATTCATTTTGCAGCCCGATCTTTCTTGAAATTGAAGGCATTTACCTCTGTGGCATGGTCTCGTGACTCCCATAACAGAGGAATTTGTGCAGAAGGCTGACTAAAATTCTTATTGGGCATGCTTGGGCCTATTTTTGTGATAAGGGAAACGAATGGTTCCTTACTGTTACAAGCCTAACGCTTATCAACCTAGTCATGGAATACATCTAAAATGAAATGTTCAGATTAAAAATTATTTCTTTTATTAGAGCTAGTGGCATGGGTTTTTAGGTTTACACCCTTTGACGGAAAGGGCTCAGCAGGGCTGGAGCAGGGTAGCTCATCTGACACCAGTCGAAACACATGTGAAGCATGACTGCAGGAAGAACCATTTAAGAAAGTGTGTTGAGGTAGTAGTTCTCCCATCTCTTCACTCTATTAATCGCTACCTTCCATTTGTTTGGGGTCATATTCTCTATTCCCTTAACAATCAAGTCACTGAAGAGGATACACCTATAGGACTGGGTCCTCTCAATAGACCTCAAGGTAAAGTCCTTCCTGTTGTTTGTGATAAACCATTTCAAAGATGACCAGGCGACATCCATAGGACAGAGGTAGTTGTAAGACGAAGGCACAACAAGAAGCTCATGGCCATTGGCTCTAGCAACTTCGGGGCAACACTCAGTGCTGGACATGTAGATAGCTGATGGAACTGGCAGCAGAGTTCCCGTCTCCGTCTCTTTTCTGTCTTTTTCCCCCATGAACGTTGGCCGTGTTTTATCCCTCATCACAATTACACACTTGCCATAGGACATGGTCAGAGATTCGCACAGCTCCTGAAAGATGCTGTTCTGCTGGTTGATGGGCAGATCACCTCTTAGTAGCAGTTTGTACCTCCAGGGAACCCACCCTTGGCAGCTGCCTGCGTGAACAAGTGTCCATACCGGCCAGCGCGCACTATCCTCCTCAGCTACTTGTTCTCCTGTTATAAGACTTTCTGGAATGTCTGTTTCTCCTAAAAAAATGGTGTTGAAACCATCAAGCTGCAGTGTCTGCAGAGCTCTTAAATACTGCAGGTGCTGCCTCTTTGAAGCAGAATCAAAGCAGCCCCTGTGAATTACGTGCCTGAGGAGCGGATTTATGAGGCGCTGCATGTTGGTGTCTCAAGGCTCAGGAAGGACACTTGAAGAGCTCACAATGAGCCGGTTGCCATGGTGCTACTCTGCAGCGTCACACTCAACCAGCGGCAGTAGCAACAGGGGCTTCCAGGTGGCTGATCAATGGGTGTCTTGGAACACAGTGGTCCCATCAGGCTGAGCAGGCTGCAACTGGGCAGCTAGAAGCTTCTGGCAGCCAGACGTTGCTCATCTTGAACATTGTGATTCCTTCTCTTACAGCACTGGGTGGATGCTTGGACCCTGTGTACACGTGTCGGCCAGCCAGGTGCCACCAAAAGGGGTTCAGAGGGTTGGGGATGTGGAGGAAGGAGCTGCCCAGAGGTAGCATGGAGAGTGAGCCAACACCTAAGCTTTGAGACCAGTGGTAGAAACCATCTCCTCCCTCCCTGGCAAGCATGTGGCCTTGTGGAATATGTGGCCTTGAAATATCCCCAGGTAGAGAAGGGGGCTGAATCCCCTGTGTTTTGTTGTGGGGAGAAGGAGAACCTCTGGGTCCTCACATGAGCCTCTCTGACAGGCAGACTCAGTCCCGGCAGTGTTGGGAGGTGCTGCCAGGTGCCCAGCACTCAATGGCACAGCAGCCTGCGTGAGGTCCACCATGCTCAGCCTGGCCAGATCCAGGGCTTGGAGGGGGAAGAAATAAACAATGCCTCAGACATCACTTCAGGGTGAGGTATTTTTAGGGGTAATTTGGTTTCTAGAGTCCTCTTAGATTTCCACTTTGAGCAGCCACTTCTCTGTTTTGTTCTGTCCCTACTGATGACCTGTGTTGAGCCCAATACCAACACCATCACCCCCTCCAAAGATGAGCAACACCTTCAGAGAAACTGAAGGGATTGTGGGGGAAAAAGAAAATGGCTTGTGTGGTGTTAGCTGAACACACAGGCTGGAATGAAGAGCAGAGCAGAGGGCTGGATGGGTACCGCCCTGCTGCCCTGGCAAGTCAAAGAGGGGCAAACTGAGGGCTGCAGCCAGCCAGGGCAGATGGGAGCAGACAGGAGGAGATGTGTATGTGGGCGCGTGTGTATGTGCAAGTGTGTGTGTGCACAGGCACACTGAGGGCAGCAACTTTTTGGCTGGAGCTGGTTGTGGAGCAGCAGAAAGTGAAGACTGTTTTGACCTGTCTGTTTTCCTACCTGTCTTCCCTCCTCCCTTCAGATGCACACACAGAATTTTACCACAAAAACAAGCTTGTCAGTAGAAAACTGCTAAATTGCTCACACTTAGCTGTAACTAGAGGGCTGGGAGTGAATGCTGGCAGCATCATCAGCCTCCCAGATAAGGCTGAACAGCATAAACATGTCAGTCTCTGATGAAAGCACACATTTCCTGGCCCACCTCTGAAACTGAGATACCCCAGGGTCCATGTCTTCCCCTCTGGAACAGTTTTCCTTTCCCCCAACCCAGTGGGAAACTGTGAAGTCAAAAACTGTCCGAAGATGAACACGGCCAGTGACTCAACTGTCTGGATGCTCTCCTTGCTGAGGCAGATGAGTGATAGGACACATCATGTTAGCAGCGTCATGTGGAGAGCAGAAGTCTGAAAATTTGATATAAGAAGAAAGATATACCCCCAGAAAGAAGTCTGTCTGGTTTGTTAGCCAGATGCAAAACAATGGCAGATTCAGACTGTACACATGTGAAGAAAAATCCTTGAGTATGCATTACATATTCATATGAGAATACAACATGATACTGACTCATCCCTACTAGCATTTCACACTGTGGTATACCTTTCTCTTCTAGTATTAGCTTTTGTCCTTAATAACTGTATACCAGGAGCACAACGTGACATTAGCAGTCCTACTGGAGTTATTGGGTGTTGTGTTAGTTTCGAAATGTACACGTGTTTAGGAGCCTGATTAGGGCCTGAGATGCCCCAAAATGTTGATTTAGGGATCTCACTGCTCAAGAACTGGATTTAAAGCATTGAAAGAACTACCTGTAAAAAAAATCTTGTTCCCTAATTCTTCTTGGTGTCTGTGACAAGCATCCCACCCATTACACCCACTGGAGCTGCAAATCATATTCCTTCTTACCTAAATTGAAGGTGTCGTTTCCTTGCCTCCTCTCCAGAGAGGATTTACTTTATTGTGCAAGGGTTGGAGAATGCCACCATGGAGATAGACACAGAAAGAGCATGCCATTTTTGTTACTCCTGCTTTCTAGCTGCCTTCTGATTGAGAATCAGACCCGCCTCGACCCTCTCAGACCCATCCCTGTCACCAGTGATGAGCAGCATCTCTTTGCTGCTGTCTCCCGTGGGCTGCCCACAGGCTGAAAGCCTGTGACCAACCCATTTGTGTCCTCTGAGACTGCTGTAGGAGGGAACTCAAAGCACAGCAGCAGTGGTCAGGAGATGTGCTTCAAAAACACGGTCCTCCTCTGAACTGGACCACACATACAGGTACCGCTGGGGCTGCCCAGGAGAATTAGGCTTGGTGTTCCTCAGTTTGGACCCCCTAGAGCGAACAGTCATGAAACCACTGCTCTGTCACTCCAGGCTTTTGTGGTTTTGCAGCACCAAGGCAAATGCTGAGTGACAAAGACAGCCTGCTGCTGTAGGCTGAGCTCTTTTCTGTGCTTTCATGTGCCGATGAAGAGACTTAGGAGGATGAATGAAGGAGTTGCAAACAAGACTTTCTGCTTCTGAGGCCTTAGGCACAGCCAAAGTCTGTGTCACTGTATTGTGGTGCTGTCCCAGCAGGATGTGGTAATGCTCTTATGCTGTGAGGTGGCATCACCTTGTCTGCATCTTTGGCTGGCCCTGAATCCTTCAACCCCCCTGAACTGGTCTGAGCCTCACTGGCTCTGTGAAATTACCAGTGATAATGCAGCTGATATGTAGTGAGATGGGAGGGATAGACTGCTTTCACATTCTTTTCAGACTAACTATTTTGAGTAGTGGATTTGTCCTGTTTATGTATATATGACATAAACCCACATGTTAACCTATTCTAAAAACAATTATACATGGTCGCAGAGTCTCAACATCATTTAAAATATTTGTGCAGCAGAGATAAGGCACTGGGCTGGATTACAGAAATACATATTTTATTTCCTGTGCTACCTTTAGTCTGCTGTGTTAGTGTTTGCCTCTTTTTCTTCACGCCCGATGTCTAAATAGCCAATGAGTACTTTGGGGCACGGACCTTTACTCCATTGGTAATTTTAGACTTCTGACATTCCCTAGCAAGGCCACACAGTGCAAAATCTCTGGGCATAGCCCCTGCCTCACAAGTGCATTTGGGAAAAGCCACTTCCGATCACCCTCTTACCCTTCAGCTGTTGCACCAGAGTCTCCCGCTCTTGCTCCTGCTGCCCCACCAGCAAGACTTGCCTCTGGCAGCAAGGCAGAGCCCTGAAAGTTGGGGTTCAGGTATCAGCATTGGGACCATCCATCACCCTCCACTGCCCCCAGCGTATGCAACCACCATCCCCAGCACACCGCCCTCAGGGCTCCAGCCGTGGATGGTACCTGACCATCCAAGGGTGGTCTCTGAGTGCAGGACGGTGGGCTCAGTAAGCGTGTGGAGCATTTCACAGGGATGCTCAGG